TCATAAGTAGCGGTAGCACTGTACACATTTTTTTTTTTTAATTCGACTTTTTTAAAACCAGACATGAAAAAGTCCACCGCATAATTGTGCTGTCAATTTAATCGTCTATTTGTAACTTTCTTGTTTTATACGTCTGTTTTTTTTGTTCTTCCTGCTGACATTTTTATGGTTGCCGCCACCTGCCCTTGCAAAGTACATTCAGACCAAAGTCGTTGAAAAAGTGCTGGCGAACAACATTTCACTGTCACTGTTTCACAAGGTGGCTGACTACCTTCGAAGAGTGTCCCTGTTTCGTCGCATTATTTGGACTCAATGAGGACGTTAACTGTCGCTTTCCGCCTTCAATGCTGCGTTCAGGTCTATGAGAAATCGTCAGCGAATTCAGCACGATCACTCGAATTGCGACTCGACAGAACGCGTCGCCAGGCACTGACCTTGTGATGACCCTCCAGAAGGCTTGGAGATTTATTGCGCGTCTCGTGAAAGTCAAGTGAAGCTCATCGCAATGACAATAAAGTCCTTGTGGTCGCCGAAGTGGGTTTTTTTTTTTTGCGTGTCTGGTGTTTGGCTAAAAATCACACGTTTTTTTTTTGTTTTGGTCTGATGTCTTTGATCGTCCGCATGGCATCACGCAAACGAGCCTTGACACCATTCGACACGCCTCCCTGATGCAGTTTGCGGCAGATAAAAATATCTCTGCCGCAGCAGTAAGGCCCCCTTGTCTCCGCTCCACTTACAAATTACAGTTCAATGCTTCGCCGTCTAATTTTTTCCGCTTCTGTCATCTTCCATCGCTGTCGGTGCGATAAGAAACGGTGCTTGTGCGGACGGAGATAACGGCACGTGGCGCCGTCGTTCGGAAACAAACCCGTTTGACCTCATTTCAGCCAGGAAGAAGAAAAAAAATCTGAATTGTAGTTTTGCATATCAGCAAAATGTCTTCAGAATGAGATGTTTGGTCCAAATCTTGTGGAGTTGCTTTTTAATTCTTAATGATTAAAATAATTAAAAAAAACAAAATTAGTTTGAGCCATCTAATAGCGATTACCGTGCTGAAGCGTAAATTGTCACGACGGTGAACACACACAAACTGTGAGGTTAGCAGTGTGATATAGGTGTGATGCATGCTGGGAGAAAAGGCAAAGATGTGAGCTGGACTCATTTAGGTCAGCGGCAAAGCTAACGAGTGAAAGTTCCCAGCGTTTAATTCTGCAGCGAAGTGCCGAGCTAGCTGCTTTCACCGCTATAAAAAACGCATCCCACTTCTTTCTTTTGTTATTCTCCTTGACCTATTTTTTTGTTTTTTTGGGTGGGTGTGTCTGTGTGTGTTTGCATGACAACTTAAGTCAATGACAATTTGTTTTACACAATTTCCACGCAAGAGTACAGTCATTATTTTTACTGCCGCTACCTTTTACACGGGCCTGGGATAGAATATCACATGGACTGTGGACATAAAAGTCTGCACACCCTTGTTCAAATGCCAGGTTTTTGTGATGCATATTAAAAAGAAAAGAAAAAATAAGTCCAAGATAAATGATCTCAAAATATTTTCCACCATTTTGACCTCTAACATGTACAACTCAAAACAATCCCCCCCCCCCCAAATTTTTTTTCAAGAGGGGAAATGAAAAGAAAAGTCGAGGTTGATTGACTGCACAGTAAATAAATACATTGTTACAATAGATTGGTCCATCTTATGATCAAATCGGTATTCGTTTGTTTGTTTTTTTAATACTTGCTGAAAATCTTGATTGTGTTTATTATTCTATTTTGAATTGTTGACTGATTTCTGGCTGAAGATAAACAGCCCTTCAAGCACACACACGGATTCTTTTGCTATTTCTGAAAACTAAATGTATGGTCTGAAGCGAGCATGTCTGTGAGGGCAAACCGGTACCAAGAAGAAAAGCAATCATCCCTTGTCACGTTGCGTTGCTAGCCTTAGCTAAAATTGTTTGTCTTATTTCCGCACGGAAAAATCTGATTTACGAAGCGGTCAAATTTGCTGGCGCCCAAACATTCAACAACATCACGGTCACGCAAAAATCTGAGCGCAGCTGACTTTGCCGCAACATGTTTTTTGAGACGTCAGCGTTTGCTTTAGCTGGATGACTGCCCTGCGCAGACGACGGCGGCGGGTGTCTGTCGCCTTCCAGCCACATGACCGCAACAACAAGGCGGCGATTATCGGCGTCACGCTGCGCCGCCCAACACGTTAACGAGCGATACGAATTGAGTTAGCGCGAGCATGTGATGATGTCAGCGTTTCGGCAGATGTAGAACTGAATCAACGGTCAATTTTTTTTTAATCTGTTCATTTTGACTCCAGAATGGTAGAAGTGGCATTCAAAAATACCGTCTTTCAAAAGCAGTTTGTATCCGGCGTGAAACATGTCCCGTCTGCCTGCTTCAGGCCCAGCTGGAGGCCCAGAAGGCCACGCAGGACTTCCAGCGAGCCTCCGAGGTCCTTCGCGCCGCCAAAGAGACCATCTCGCTGGCCGAGCAGCGCCTCCGAGAGGAGGACCGCCGGCAGTTTGACTCGGCCTGGCAGGAGATGCTCAACCACGCCACGCAGAAGGTCAGCATTCAAGCCTCCGCGACACGATTTTGTGCGGCCAGTGTGCTGATGAGCTGCATTTGGCGCTCGCAGGTGATGGAGGCGGAGCACGAGAAGGTCCGAAGCGAGGTGGCCCACAAGGAGACGGCGGCCAAGCACGCCCAGGCCGTCGCTCGCATGAAGCAGCTGGAGAAGAAACTCAAACGCACCATTAATAAGTCAAAGTAAGAAACAAGGAAAACGATTCCGTTTTGGGGTGGGGGTGGGGGGGGGGCATCGAATTTCTGAATAGATTTATTCTGAATTTTCACTGGCAGTCTTCAAATTTCCCCTTCATGTTCATCTATTGTCAGCGACACAGCATTTCTTTTTTTAATTGAATTTTCTATACCGTGGTTTCACGTTCATTGTTTCAAATGAAGGTGCGTTCACGTGCGGCTGGGAGAAAGGAACATTTATCCTTCATCTCTACATCTTCACTTCTCTATGAAAAAAAAAAAAATTAAATACCTCCTGACATTTCTGTCATGAACCGTCAACTTTTGGCTTTATTTTTTTTATTATTTTTTTTTTGCTTTGATGACGCTTACATGATTAATTACTCATTGTTAGCCTTTGTTTTGGTATATGATTGACTCAGTTCTTTTTCTGCGAGTCTGTCGAAATGATGTGAAAGCCAGTCTGTGGCGGGGAAAATGGTCCAACCGCGATAAAGTCCTGACAAAATATCAGTGACATCATTGATCAATTGACTTTGACTCATTTTCATCGCTACAAAAAAATGTTTGAATCGCTCCCTCTGTATTTTCCTCCTCTGATGTCTTCTCCTTTTCCACAGGCCCTACTTTGAAATGAAGGCCAAGTTCTACCTGCAGCTAGAGGTATGCAACAGTTTCTTTGAATTCAAAATCAATCCTCCATTTTGGATGTTAATGATTATTTATTATTTTTTTTTATTCCACTGCGCAGAACCTGAAGATGATGGTGGACGAGCATCAGGCCAAGCTGTCGCAGGCCAAGGCCGAGTACAAAGCGGCCCTCGGGAACCTGGAGGCCATCTCGGTCGAGATCCACGAGCGGCGGCGCAGCTCCGTCATGGGCCCGCGGGAGCGGGGCGTAGGCGCAGAGGGCGAATGCCTTGGCGGCGGCGGGGAGCCGTCGTCCGGCATCAAGATGGACTCCGATGGAATTTCCAGTAAGATGAAGAAGACGTTACTATTGCTCGTGCCTCAAATTTGGCAACATCGCGAGTTCCAGATTTATGGTCCCGCACTTTTGATTTGTTTATTCTATTTTATTTTTATGACTTGGTTATTTTTTGCCTCTTGCTTATTTTGAGAGGAACGCCACTCGTGGCCACACTTTTGTTTGAGATCCGTTAAATTTGAAAGGAGAAGGAAAATGGCAAGTATTTCAATATTTCTTTTCTCTTCCGCCAATCAACTCCCCACAGTGATGTCGGTGTGTTTTGACGACGAGGGGTACAACGGCAGCAGCGTGGCGTCCGACGAAAACTCCTCCAGTTGTCGTCTCAGGTCGTCACCCAGCAGCCCTCAGGAGCTCCAGTCGCCGTGCTCCTTCGCCAACTCCACGTCTTCGTCTTGCGCCTCCTCCTCCTCCGCCTGTCCCTCACCAACTCCATCCTGCTCCTCTTCCTCCTCCTCTCCGCCTCCCTCCAGGCCTTGCAGCCTGGAGCTGCGCAACTCCGTCTCCCTGTCGGACTTTGGCCTCATTTCGCCCGTGCTCGGCCCGCGAAGCGAATGCAGCGGGGCGTCGTCGCCCGAGTGTGACCTGGAGAGAGGTGAGTGACTGGTGGATGGAGAAAGTCTTCATCTGTTTTAGGTTTCTTCATATTTTGGGACAGATTCCATTTTCTTGACTTTTGACGAGTGACAAGTGTTACCTCTTGCGTCTCAGGTGAGAGAGCGGAAGGCGCCGAGGTGACGCTGGACAACGGGCCGGCCCTCATCATCAACAACAACAACAACAACCAGAACAACAACAGCAGCAGTGCGATGGCTGCCACCAAGAGGAGCTTCAACCTGGAGGCTCGCTTCAGCTTCCTCAACCTGCGACGCCAACGCAGCGACGCCAAAAACACGGACCACTTTACCCAGAAGGCAGTGGTGGTCAAAGGGCTGTGAGGAACCACCACAAGAACATTTGGATCGACTCTGATAGAAACAAAAATGTACTTAAAAAAAAATAAAAACATCCTTTTTAGCGTCTTTGTTGATTTAGTCCTCGAAGATGGAAGGTGACAGCAAATGTCGTGAAGGTGTCATGTGAGGGAATGTTAAATAAATGTTGCACTGTTTAAAACCCGACTTTGAAACCTTAATCCTAGTCTAAAACCTTAATTTAAAACCCTAACCTTAGTTTCAACGCTACTTTGAAACCCGAACTTGAAGATCAAGTCCAGCCGTGTGAGCCAACAACATACAGTACATAGCTGTCCATTTAATGTCTTCATAATAACAGACATCCATATTCCATGACACACGTCATGGAAGCATTTTGTCTTTAAAAAAAAAAGTCAGGTAAATAAATGATTGGCTTGCAGACGTGGAGTCCACTTGTGATTGGCAGGTTTGCGACGTGGCTCAAGACCAATCATTGCAGCTGAGCCACTTTGAGGGGTGCGGTGCTGGCGAAGTCCAGGAAGAAGGGGCCCTCCTGTTTGGGCAGGAAGGTGGTGGGCACCACGTTGTAAACGCCCGCCGGGACCTGCTCGCAATCCATGTAGCAGAAGCCGCATCTGCCGGGACGACGCCAACAACATGCACACGCGTGAAGATGGCGTCAGACGGGACACGAAGGCGCAGATCAACAACAATCAATGTTCTTTGTTGTTTAAATAGAAGCCCAAACTTTTGCTTGAAAACTCGACCCTGGCTGCTGAGACTCTAAACCTTGTTTAAAACTCGTAACCCTTGAAACTTCAAACCGAGGCTCGAAAGCCTAAAGATGGCTCGAAACCCCAATCTGGATCCTTAAACCAGGTTTCACTAGACGTGGCAGAGGCGACCAAAAATGCGAGCGCCCCTTTGAGTGTTAGCGTACCTGTAATCTCCGCTGCTCCTCTTGGACGTGGAAGTGGCGCCGCCATCGCTCGTGGTCGACACGGTGACCATTTCAAAGCCAACGCTGTATTGCCTGAAGGTTGTACATGATCAATGTAGGAAACTAACCCCTGATGATGTGTTTATTTTGAAAAAAAAAAGCCACCAAATTGCTTTTGTGAATGTGCATAAGGGCGGCGTGAAATGTATTGTCCACACACACCCGCGCAGACAAACGCACAAAGCTCGGATTATTCGGACGCCGACTGTATACGCGGGAGAAAAAAAGATCTTGTTGATAGAGGAGGATTCAGCAAGTTGATGCCCCTGCTCGGGTTCTCGTGAGTTCACATCATACTTGAACACCCCGTCAAAATGTGTGAACCCCCAGCGAGATGGTTCACCCTGCTGCTATATCGCACATGTTTAAGCCTGACTATTTTTTTGGGGGGGGTTGTGCCGCAACATGGCAGGCAACATTGGAGTCTATTGGGAGAGATGTAGTGTAATTAATACGAAGAGGCAGAGAAGGTCCCCAACTAGTCTCCAGTCAATGTAAACGTTCCCACAAAGCAGATCTGATTTATGCCTATGATGATTTCTGCACGCTCCATTTGTATGTCGTGCTGCTCTTTGGATTGAAGAAGCAGTTGTATGACGGTTTGTCATTACTGCTAGCATCTATGCTAGTTTCTATTCGCCCGCCTTTGCCGTTTTGCATTATATGTTAGTTTTAAGCTCGTGTTTTGGGATGTAAAATTACACGGTTTGAATAGGAGCGAATGACGACGGAATGGGTGGGGCTCACTGACCTGGAACCTCGCAGTTCTATGAGCAGTGGACCGGATCGCTCCAGCTGCAGTTGGTAGACTGGATTGTTCTTGTACGAGTCCTTATAGTTGCCGCAGCCGCCGGCACTCGCGCCTTTCCACTGGCCGTTAATCTGAGCCCCATAACAAGTAGTCAACACAAACAAGCACACAAAAATGACACACACACACACACACACACACACACGAGCACCAAAACCACAAACCAAAAGACAGACACGCTCTCCAAAATGCACACAACGTGTTTGCGCTACGTGTTGGCTTACCCTTTTGGTGTGCGTGAAGGGATTCGGGATCTTGGAGAAGTTGAATTTGCAACCGGAGTAAACCTGCAGAAAGAGGCCACGAAAGAAAGAACATCATTTCCATTTGGTTTCAGACTCGCAATTAGCATAGCATCATTCGTAGCATATCAACACCCCTTTTGCTGACTGTACATTGGAGTCTTCACTCTGCCTTTTTTTTTTTCATAATTCTTTTCATCCACGTTTTGGTTTCTAATACGGTTACGAAGTCGTGAAATTTCCTTTCCTACACTCTGAGCCCCACTTCCGCAGGTGAAGCCGCTCGCCTTGTGGCAGCACCCTCGCTCCAATCCTTGGTCGTCGGGGAACAAAAGCTGGACTTCCCATTAGCGCTGCAGTATATATTAAGCTGTGAAAAAAAACATAATTTGGATCCCTTAAATGCATGCGTGTGTGTGTGTGTGTGTGCGTGTCCCCCCCCCCCCGGCAATGTCATCATGATAATGACCACTTTGATCACTATTATCATGACACGTTATCATCTGTGGTAAGGGTGGCTTTTATAAATTAACTAAATAATTTTTTTCTTTTTTTTTAAAGTCTAAATTCATGTCAGTGAGAATTTAAAAAAAAAAAGCAGTGTTGGTAGCACACAATGCACAACTTGGAATTGAACTTCTGTGAATCAAATTAGAAAAAAAACAAGAGCAAAGAGAACTCTTCTGCAGCAGAACAAATGGCATTGGGCAAGGACAATTTTTGTCCCATTTCGGATCAAATCTGAACACTGAAACAGCAAAATATAAACTCCGCCGATCACTTTGGGCAGTACCGGAGAGACTTCTTCTCAAAAACACTTTCCCCCTGGACAACTCCAGAGACGCCGACGTTGCCACGAATCCCCGTGGTGATTTCTCTTTTCTTCCATAAGGCTGCATTCCCACTTTCTACCAAACTGTCTTTCCGCGCGAAAAAGCTTTCTGCCAAGTCAACGTCAAAAATTCAACCAAAGGTGACAAATTTTCAGCTTTCGGGCCGGCAACGCCAGAAAATGTCTTGATGCGGTGCGACTTTTTGACAGCGAACGGGCGAGGCCTCCTACCCTCAGCGTGTAGTTGATGGTGTTCTGCTTCTCGTACTGCGACACCACCAGCGTGAAGGTGTGCGACCCGGCGTTGGTCAGACGGATCTTGGTCAGGTAGTGGGGGCTGTTGATCCGAATTCCGTCGATGTAGGGAGGGGGCTCGGCTGCAACGGGCACAACAAGTGTCATTTGTCTCCGATCGAGAGGACCTTCACCGCACACTGTATTTGGTGCGCCATTCAAATTGGAATCACTTCCTGTTGACTGTGATGGCGTCCATTCATATTTTGAAATAGATCTTGGACTGTGACATGATTTCAACACAGCAGATCGACAACCAATAAATCCAGCTTTTATTTGTTTGTTTTTTTTTTAGCTTTTACAAAAAAAAAAAAAAAGCGCGACGCATCACATCATGTGCTTTGTGTCACGACTGCGCCGCGTGTCATGTGAATGTGACTCGTTCAAGTCCGATGTGTCACATTTAGGCGCTGTTCATTTGCTATTGACATGCTATGTGGTTTATTAATCTGCTACTAATTACAGTATGTCATATTCATGCACAATGGCGTCGGGCACAGCGCATCATTTTTAAAAAAAAAAAAAGCGCGACGCATCACATCATGTGCTTTGTGTCACGACTGCGCCGCGTGTCATGTGAATGTGACTCGTTCAAGTCCGATGTGTCACATTTAGGCGCTGTTCATTTGCTATTGATATCCTATGTGGTTTATTAATCTGCTACTAATTATGTCATATTCATGCACAATGGCGTCGGCCACAGCGCATCATTTTTTTTATTGGGTCTTTTTTCCTTTCGCCTACTTTTTTTTTGCAATATCAATTAAAAAAAAAAATACCTGTGTGTATTCTAAAAAAAAATGTTTTTTCTTGTTATCCAAAAATATAAAAATGACTTTTGGCAATAATGTGGCCAACTATGTCTATTTTTTTATTTATTTTTTTGATCGCAAAAATAATAGAGAAGAATGTCAGACCTGGATAGTAAACCTTCTTGCCGTCCGTCTTGTAAACAACCAACGTGATGAACTCTCGGTTCTGCGCAAAGTCCTCCTGCATCACAAAAATGAATCAACAAAATAAAATCATTAGAAAATAAAAGAAGAACACACATTTCATGAAGCATTCTGATCCTCATGCGTGAGACCAAATCCTTGTCACTTTTCCACTCTGTCCGACCTTGTCGGTGATATGTCTGGAAAGCAGCACCCACACGGCAGCGCCCCCTGCTGGACACTGCACCTCCAGCTTGTACTGCGGGTTGTTGGCTAAACTGTAGACGTCCTTGACGGGGCCTTGCTTTCCATCCCAGCTGCTGCATGACACCCAGAAAGCACAAGACTCATTTTGAGCTTATTTGGTGTGAGAAGACCTTGCTTGAGAATTTAAACACAAACCTGTGGATGCAGGTGGATTCTTTGAACAGCGACGGGTTCCAGCTGAGGTAAATGACATCATAATATTGACACAAGTCCTCCCAAGCGATCCAAAACACACCTGAAGGGACAAAAAAAAAAAATCTTGGGTGGTCCCGAGACGTACTTTGTGCACGTGATCTTGTGCGAGTTCAACCCTGGCCGATTTAAATGTCATCACCCTCAAAGTACCATTATCAAACTTCTGCGCCGTCTTGGGGTCAAAATTGAGGTATTTGAGGAGCTCGGGAGTCCAGTTGTTCTCGTCTCGCTCGCTGTAGCGGCCTTTCCATCGCAAGTGGCTCCAAGGGTTCTTCAGCTGAAGGAAGCGCATGTTCTACAAAAAGGTGGCGGCAGGTTACGAGGAGGACCCCGGTGCCGGGGGTTGCTTTTTTGCGGAGGCTAACCTTGTATTCCCTGATGTCGAGGACTGCGTAGGCGTGAGTTGGCACCAAGCCCCACTGCTCCCCTTCCTCCTCCGTCATCACGCCGGTCGCCGTGGTGATGAGGACGTCGCCTCGATGGAACCTGCGGATGCAAAGACACCAAATCGCGATTGACGGACGCCTCAAAACATCTGAACAGTCGAGTCTTCTGTAAAATATCGGCAACAATGAATTGGATAGCACAATCATGTATTTACTGTACATATAATATTTACCAACATAACCATGCTACATTTGACAAACTTTACAAATTATTATTATTTACTACACGCTATTTTGTAGTAGTAGTATTGAGTAGTGTGTGCGTGTGCAGCATGCTTTGCATGCTTATGTGTGTCTGTATGTATGTAAAGTTGGTCATTACTTCTAAATTTAAATTTTTGCCGTCATTTTTTCTCTCTTTTGCGGCACTCTTTGGAATAGAGTTAAGATGACAAACACATTGATCAATCACAAGCTGCTTTTAACGGTCGAATTTCCAAAGGGCCGCCATGTTCGCAAACATCAATTGTGATGAGCTTATCCAAAAAAAAAACCAAATGCTGCTATCTGCTGGCCATTGTGGGGGTTTAAAAAAAAAAACCTTTCCAGTTTTATGATCGAAGCAGAGTAAAAATGTAATTGACAACAATTGCGTCACTGGCATGCCTCGTTAGGAATCCTTTTGAAGACATTTTATGTCAAAGAGTTGAAGTGACGTCACCTCTGGAAGAGCATGCGGAAAGTGTCGTCCTTGCTGAACGACTGATTGTCCGAGTGCATGGCGATGCGCTCGGGGATCCAGCCGGTGAGCGCGTGGAGATCGATGTTCTGAGGGGGGTGGGGGCAAAAAAAAAAACAAAACAAAAAAAAAACAACAATGAACATGAGAAATACACGGAGAGGCAAACACGTAGAAAGCGTTAACGGCGCCTACCGAGTTGGATCCGGGGAAGTCGTACCCTCCCATCACCTTCATGTAAGCCTTCTCGATGAGCGACACCCACAGCTCATTTCTGTTGCTGGAGTACGAGCACAGCAGCTCGCCGTTGTGGTCCACGGGCAGAAAGTCGTCGATGATCACCTGCGTGAGGAGACGCAAACGCAGTTATCCGTTTGTGTGTTTCTCTTCTTTCTGCGTGACGCTTTTACCTTCCTGGGAACGCCGTTGATGTGCAGCTTGACCATGTACTTCCCACATGGGTTGTACTCGGGCTCCCCTCGTCGGTTCTGAGGATAGATGATGCTGAAACACATCAGCAAGGAACAGGACTTTTGAAGCATTCGTTCTGTGTGTGTACTTGAGCGTCAAATTTAAAAAAAAAAAAAAAAAAAAAATCAACCTACCTGGTGATGAGTTTCTTGTTGTAGCGTCTCTCGTAGGCGGCGCTGATGGCGAGCGAAGCCACGAAGGAACAGTCGGACACCACCGTCTGCACGTGGAAGCGGCTCGTGTTAATCCAAAAGCAAAGTTGAGAGAGGAAGAGCGATGGGGAAGCGTCACCGTTGCAGACCTGCTTGATGCTGAAGCTGGACACAGACATGATCATGGTGGGACTGGTGCAGATCTCGTCGGGTCGGACCCAGCGGGAGAAGATGACTTTCTGCTTGGGTGACAGAGCCAAAGTGCCTGATTTGTCCCTGGTGGGGGAAAAATAAAGACAAAAGACTCTCCAACATCGAACAAGACGGTTGGTTCTGGACACCTGGCGAAGATTTGACTCACGAGAAAGGCACGGGAAAGGCGAAGCGCTCCTTGAGGTCCACGCTCATGAAGGGAACGTAGGCGATGCCGTTGATTGTCGACGTGCTCCTACAAAAAGGTGCCAGGATGTGATGGGCAGAAACGTGTCCAAGGAGGAAAAACATGAGAAGAAGAACGTGTAGGATAGGAGGAACACAGGAGGAGTACATATCGGAGGACTACGAGAAGAACCGGAACACAAGTTGAAGAACACAAGGGCCAAATGACCTGAGGACCTCGATCTCGTCAGACGAGTATCGCTGACCGTGTGGTTCACTGGACTGGACCGCCCTCATGGGCTGAGGTTGCGGGCGGTCGTTGAGAGAAAAGTCGGGACCCAGCGGGAAAAACTGGCGGACGGGTCCCGACGAGCCGGCCTTCACCCCCGACGGTCCCGCCCTGTCCTGAGTCTGTGATGGACCGGACTTGGACTGTGATTGCTTGAGACCTTCCGCCCTGAGGGACACCACGGCGACTTTAGTCACGTCACATCGATGACGACCGGAACATGACATACTTCCGGGCGGCAGAACGCAAGACCGTTCACAATCGCGTTTGGAAAATGGGTCGACTGAAACCAACCTGTCTAAAGCTTGATGGGCCAACTGCTTGAGCTTGGTCTGCATAGCCTGGTCAGACGTCTCGTTGGACTGCCGACGCATGAAGAGACACGTGGAGCAGACCGTGAACACCACATACCGAAGAACATGAGGAAACATGTGCAGATGAATGCGTGGCATACGAGGATAGACGCGCAAAAGAAGAAGGAGGCGACCGGGAGGAGACCACGATGAGACACGCGGAAGAACATGAAGCACCACGTGCGGGAGGGAACATATAGAAGGCGACGCGGATCCTGACCGTCTTGATGCAGAGCTCTACGGCCTGAGTGTAGAGCTCCACGGCTTCGTCGTCATTTCCCTTGCCGTCCTCCTCAAAGGCCTGCGTGACCAGGAAGTGGGCACGCTCCAGGTCCAGCTGATGACGGGACTTGAGCGGGTCGCTCTTTTGCGCCTCCACTGCGCTCACTGGGCAGGAACATGGCAGAGAATTTTAGGACGGGGGGGGGGGGATAACACCGTCAGAGACTGTCTGCAAATGGCACATTTCCACTCTTTCACAATGTCATACTTTTATTCCATTCATCCAGATTGTGGAGCATTTTTCTTTTTCAGTGAAAAGAAAAAAACTCCAAAGCATCCCAATAAATAAATAATTTGCATTTGCCCATAAATGGCTTCTTTAGTTTAATAGTGAAAAACATAAATACTACAAATAGTTAAATTAAAATGAGAAAGCTTTTATTTAAAGAAGCATCCTCCCTTGTCAGAACTAATAGCCGGAAAAGTTGACTGTGACGACAGAAATATGTCATCCACCCAGTTTTCGCGACGCCCATTCTCTCACAGGAGAGCGTGTAAGGACAGTCATGGAAAAATGAACTCAGACATCCACGAAGCAAAAACTTCCTGATGGGCAAGTCTGACAGTAACATTCACACACAAATATCCTGCTTGAAAGCATCATTGGGATACAAAAAATATCACATGAATAATTTACCAATAAAAAAAAAAAAAGGCAGGAAATGTGAATGATTCAGACCAAAAATTGTCCATATACATCCACACAAACGAGAGCTTTTCATGATGTGCCATCACTTGTGTGATTCTCGTGTACACGGCATGATGTGCAAGCATGGCAAGTGTGAGGCGAGCAAGCGGAGAGAACTAAAGCTTCGAGAGTGAAGCGAGTGAGGCTGCTACGACAGAGAGAGAGAGAGAGAGAGAGAGAGAGAGAGAGAGAGAGAGAGAGAGAGAGAGAAGAGAGAGAGACGGCGCATGTAAAGCACGTAAACGGTGAAACATAAAGGTTTGCGAGGGGAACAAGTACAGTAGGTGTGAGCAAGGCTGGCAAGCGGTGAACAAAAAAAAAAGGTGTGTGCGAGGCAGACAGTGAGGAAAAAAGTGATGCCAGTGGCGTCGGTGGGTTTTGGAAGGCAGACAAGCGATGAGAAAAAACACGTTTGCGAGTGGAGCAAGTGGGTGTTGATCATTATTATGCTTGTTAGCGTATTGATGACCTAGTAATGTCACTTGTGTGTGCTTTTGACGGTCTTACACGCATTGTGGAGGGTCTGTACTCGATCCAGGTACTCGTTGACTTTGTCCTGGATGCCGTCCAGCTTGGAGCCCGCCATGCCGGCGTAGATGAGGGCCTGGGCGGCCTCCTGAAGCGAACAAGTCACGTTCCTTAAACACCGAGGTGCTTAACTCATCCACGTACATCGACTGTCACGCATCGATAGCAGACGAGGATGCAGCTGACATTCGCTCCTCGCACTCACCTTATAGTAAAACACAGCTTCGTTGTATTTGCCATTCTGGTCGTAGGTGACCGCCGTTTTGGCGAATTTGATCGCGTCGAGCTCCAACGCTATGCTGTCCATTCTCAACACAACTTGTTGACCAGGGGACAAGAAAACACGGTTAGTTTCCTTCACGAGGACAGTAGCTAACTTGACGGAGGCGGACGCAAGACGGCGACATGTTGGCGTTCATGGAAAACTACGGTCACGGATTTTAAGACCAACGCTGCTCGGTTGAAGTCCAAATTGACAGATGTTTGCCGGGTCAAAAAAAAAAATACAAGCGTGTTGCTTCCGGAAACTCATGTAGCGCGTGCGCAGTAGGGAAGGCGGTCGAAACTACGCGACGTTCAGGAACTCAGGGTAGAATAGAAAACTGCAAACGCCCAACCTCAGTAATTTTCGAGGAGGCGGCCAGAAGAGGGTGACATAGTATCGTTGATGTAGAAGAATGTCGTCTCTCTTGTCGCCATCACTTTCCCCATTACGTTGAGCCATTCGTTTTCTGCGTCAAAACAAGAAGCACGTTTCTGGGCAGGCAGTTTGCGCAGGCAAAGTGTGGGAGACAAGCAAAACTACATGTGGCCTTCAGGTACAATGAGGAAAAAAAGTTTCTGCAGCAGGTGATTTGCTGAGGGCAGGCGTGCTGATATTCGGGCCGCTTTTCTGTTTGTGGGAATCTTCATCGCCACTTTCCGACATTTATGAGCATTTCCCGGGATCATAACTCTGAGATCTAACTAAATGTGGCGTTCAGGTAGAGTAGGAAAGGAGGGGATCACCTAACAAATTACATTTAAATCAATTCAATCTCGTTCGGCAAATGAAATTAAATCTCTAGAAAGTCCCATGTTTAATAAATAAAATCTAAATCAGTAAAGACAATTTCGATTCTAAGTCCCACCCCTTCAAACAGCTTACTTATCGGATGCCTTTTCACATTGCCAGGGCCAAGAAGAAACGAGGACAAGTTTAATCTCTCATAAACCACTTCGGACCCACAGACGTTGTTTCACTGTTTCTCCCACTTATAAAATATGTAAGCTTATGTTACGAACCCCTCAACTTACATATATATGCGTGTGTATGTTTGTGTGCTACCACAAACACACTCTGTAAGAAAGGGACATGATGACCAGTAGCAAAATAGGACATGACGGTACAGGACAGAACAGGACAGTAGGAGTGAGTCCGGCAGGAAGGGATGTGTCAGGTAAAAAGCAGCGCTGAATGGAGCACTATGCCCTGTGAGGAAGTAACAAATGGGACAGTACACGATGGGACAGGAATAAACAGTTTGAATCCTAAGGAGAGGACACTCCAAGGAGTTCAAGTGAATTTCCTGAAATTGCTCTGCAGGCCCAAGCTCTTCTCAGTCACAGCAGTGAAAGAGTTAACATGAGAGATGACTTCACCCCCTCCACCACCCCACTGCCCCATACCCACCAACCAAAGCCCCTTGGTCCACTCCTCCCTTTCATCCTCTAGTCTCCTCCCTCCACACACACACACACACACACACACACACACACACACACACACACACACCCTCCTTGTCTTCCTCCTTTAAGAGCTCCCAGGGCCTCGCAGCAGCTTCACTTGTCAGGTCCACTCTGAGTGTCCACCACTTGCATCCCTCTCGCAATGGACCTGCACCCCACTGCACACTACCGTCACATGGCCCAGGAAAAGCACCAAATGCTAGACCTCAACCGCCGCCTGCAGAGCTATCTGGGCCGGGTCAAGCTCCTGGAGGAGGAGAACACGATGCTGTCCCAAGAGATCCAAGCTCAGCGGCACGGCCATCACGGAGCCTCCGTGAGGGAGAAGAGTTTGAAAGAAGATCTCCATCGGGCCAGAGCGGAGCTGGACAAGGTCTGGAGGGAGCGGGTGTACACCGAGATGGAGGTCTGCAAATTGAGTGAGGAGATCCAGATGGTTGAGCGGCACTGTCAGAAGGAGGCATTGGCCCAAGCGGAGATCAAGGCGAAAATGGAGGTGAGCAGGAAGGAGCTGGAGGAGGAACACGGGGCTCAGAGGTGGCTCAGGGAGAGAATCAAGCAATTGGAGGAGGAAATGGATCACCGGGTTCGGAACCACGAGGCAGATGTGGCCCACTTGGAAACCATGCTGAGCCATTCGATACCACCGCGCACCACTCCGAATCTGGACCTCCTTCAGCTGGAGCAGGAGCTCAGCCAGCAGGCCTCCAGGGCATGGCATGAGACGGCGGAAGCCTACCAGGCACAGCTAGACCAACTGGAGGAGAGCCTGAGAGAGACAGCAGCCCGTTTGGGCCAGGCGGAGCACCACAAGAATGAGTACCAGGCCCATCTGAGGGCCCTGGAGAGAGACCGGATCTCCGAAGGGGATGTTAGGAGGCAGCTGGAGGAGACAGCAGAGCAGCAAAGGGAAGAACACAGACAACACATAAACACACTTCAGGTGAAGCAACCACAATAATCTAAATGTTTCATAAAGGTCAAAAGGGAGCATTTGCAAAAACTAAAGTTTTGTATTACATTTCATTCGCATGGTGTATCTGATAAAGTGTCCATTGAGTATCAAGTAACTACATCCAGGTGCATCTCAATAAATTCAAATACCGTGGTGCCTTGCCATACAAGCGACCTGACTTCTTCAAAAACAAGACTTCACGCTGTTTAATGTCAAACGAAACTTAAATCAAAGACACATGTTGTATATCTACAGCTGCACAGCTTTGCCTTCTACTAGCTTAATTCTAACACAACGCAAAATGACATAGGTGGGCTAACATATAGGATTGCTCGTCGTTGCGATCGCAATTGATTTTGAACATACAAGGTGCGTCAACGGGTAGAAATATAAATATAACCATGCGCACGTGCATATATTCTTTATCCCCCTGCAAAAACCGAATAAGAATACAGTACTGCACTTCACTGAGTAATTGTGAAAGTCTATTGCATTTCTGTCTTCAGTGGGGGCCGAGCAATTCATTTTTAAAACAAAATGTATTACTGTGACTGTTTTGCTGGCCTTTTTCCCAATTTTCTAATGACCGTCAAATCAAATGACCCTCATATTCAGTCATTCAGATCACTGGAATTCCTTCAGTGGGTTTAAATGCCACACCAAGAAATGGACCCACATATGATCAGCTGCTATGTTTATACTTCCTGTCCACGAAGTGGGCAGAGTATCCTATTGTGCCGACTTGTGAGTCATTCCCAGCTGTCCTCTTCCTCTTCAGGAAGCCCAACGAACAATCGAATAACGTACACGGACGCCTGACTGTCTGACAAGTGACCAGCAGGAGTCATCTAATCATTGAAACCAAACGGAGGCACCCCCTCCACCCCCTCATCTCATCTTGTCACTTGGTGTCGTGTGTACAGGAGCACTGGGAGTGCCTGGAGAAGGAGAAAGAGCATCTGGGCCAGCAGCTTGATCGTTTGGTGCAGGAGAACCGAGGTCTGCTACAGCAGAAGATGTCGCTGGGCCTGGAGGTGGTCACCTACAGGTAGAAAATAAATACCTAAGGGAATCCTCCAAATGCCTGAGAAGATCTCACGTCCAACACAATCAACATCCCGACAAATGCTGGGAAAACTGGAAAGTCAACATAACTCATTTCGGCGAGCAATTTTTGGTGTGGAATTTTAGCAGTCAAATAATAAGACAAATAGCAGTCGGTGTTAGTAAAAAATATTTAGGCCTCTGCTAGAAAGCAACAAAAAATATATAAAATCTCAGGAAAATGCTTCTAGAACCTCTGAACTGTATTTGAGGTTAATCAGAGGCACAAACATTGGTGGCCGGTGTGTGCTGACTTCCATTTCACATGAATTTAAATGCGATTGGGTAATTCTGAACACAACAACATTCGCGGTCGTAACAGGGTGTGCACACTTGTGCAACCACATTATTAAGTTATTGACCATTCCTTCCCCTCTTGAAAATATTTGGAAAAAAAACTCTCAATTGAGTTGCACAGGTTAAGACTCATATTAATGGTGGAAAAGATATCTCAATTGGTAATATCTGGCATTCGAACAAGGGTGTGTAAACTTTTTATATCCACTGTATTTTATATACCCGATGATAGACCGCTAACCAGTCCAGGTTGTATCCTGCTCTTGCAAAAAAAGTCAACAACACAATAAATCAACTGGCTCACTTTTAGCAGTGGGGACCTTTACTTGCTCTGTGTGCCAGAGGTGGTTTGCCTTGTCCCCGGTAATAGATATGACACATGTATAAAGCCAGACCGTGTGATCAAGTGTGATCGAGTCACTCCAATCCAAACTGGATCTTCCCCAGCCAAATGACATTCAAGGCTGCAGCTGTTTGGGACTCCAAAGGGCACGTCCTTGAAGCAGCAGCCTGAGTTGCCCTGCTGCAGCCAATGACCTCAGTCCATTGTGGAGCATGAAAGTGCAACCCCCACCCTCAGTGCCCCGTCACATCATAAAATCCCCAAATCCATCATCCAACACCCCAGCCCCCCTACTTCCCCCACCATGTATTGACCCACACACACTGCTCATACATTTATGAGCTGTGGGATTCTAGAATCACAGCAGGGAACAGATATATGATATTTAACACTATTTGCATATGACTCAATCATCAGACCTTTAAGATTAAGAACCCGATAAAACTGGCACACACCCTCCCAAAAAACAAACAAACAAACAAACAAACAAACCTAAAGTAGGTCAAACACACTACAAAGACCATTTAAGGACATTCAAAGTGTAAAATCGTGCAAAGCATGTCCAAATACTAATGAAAAAAGTTCATCCTTTGAGGAAAAGCTTATATTAACCTTTTTATTTGTGGGAAAAAAAATTGATCCAGGAAAACAAAATGTAACTGTTTTTTTTTTCAGAATACAGTGATGGATTGATCGCAAATCAACTTTCCCCCTTTAAGTGAATCGGAATGCCATGAATCTGTTCCAGCCACAAACTCCCCCCCTCCGAAAAGTTTAGAAATAATACAAATAACACATTATAATATTGTACTTTTTGAAAATATACAGGTTGATATTATTAAATAGAAAATGAAGAATTAAAGTTTTTTTCCTCACATTTTTTTTAACTTCTCTTCAATGGACATCATGATGCTCCTTCCGGTGGTCATGCAACGGCCACCTGGGGGCAGTATATCGCAGACATACTGATATGGACAAACAAGGAAGGTCACAACTCCTCAGCACTGATAGACGTTCTTTGCAGAGGATAAATAATACTTGCGCGTGAGTATTGTTAGAGTATCTGTCGATGCGTCGGGCCTCTTTTGTCTCATGGCACAACGATGTATTTAGTGAGTTCATCACTTTTAAACACGCAGACAAAAAATGTGTTTTGTTTTAATTAAAATAGAAATATACCACAGTTCGTATCGCAGTTACTCATGAGGACCCTTTTTGAGTAGTTGTGTGTGTGTGTGTGTGTGTGTGTGTGTGTGTGTGTGTGTGTGTGTGTGTGTGTGTGTGTGTGTATGCATGCGTGTGGGTCATCAATAGCAGGAGCCTTCCCTTCATTACCATAACAACGACTGCACGCTCTCATCTTTCCTTCCTCCACCCTGGTAGAGCTTCTTGTGTCCAAGCTGAGCATCTATTTTATTCTGCTGTCTTTGCAGAGCTCTGCTGGATGGCGAGAGCCTGCGGCGAGATGATGTCTCTCTTCTGAAAGACTCCAGAAACATTACACTGAAAGGTACAAATGCCAGGATGTCATCATCACATGCATGACTACAGCAGGATCTAAGTGGACGGTGTTTTCATAAAATTAAGAGTGAATGGCAAGACTACACTATGCTATCTTATTTTTGATTTTGAATTTTTTAAAAGTTATTTACATTTTCCCTGTCGCTGTTTGGCTGGGACAAGTCAAATGGTTGTGTTTTAGTACAGCATCCATTGTGAGCTCATTATTTGGCAGCATTAATTAAGTAAAGTGCTACATAAAGATGTACTTTGACAATGAAATCTCGACTTGTGAGACCCCAAATGCAAAATCATCCCTAACATTATATCAATTGAATTAATAGCCCTTCACTTCAAGCTTCTCCATTTTATTCAAATTCGGGGGTTCATGTGGGGGTTGGTTGTAATCCAAGAAGCAGCAGAGGACATTCATGAAACAGGAGGCACCACGTGGCCTCTTGGCTTTACCGTAAGAAAGGAAATGGCGATCAATAGTGTCCATTAGCGTGGGGGCTCTGTAGAGGAGCTGGCTTTTAACGATGGCTCACATCCATGGCACTGAGCCAGACAGCAATGCAATTACTTCTTAGTTGTAAGATCTTGTTTTATTTATATAAGAGCAACATAGTCCGTAGTATATTGACTGCATCTTCTCTCCCACAGACATGCCTGTGAAGCCTTCACGAGGGAATTACCAACTACCTGGTCGCTGTAACACGCTCGCGTCAGTCAGGAGAGCACCGATAACTTCAACGACACCTTTGAGGAGCAAGCCCGTAAACATCAGCCAAGCTCGCGGGGGTGAAGAAACAGCAACAATGGTGGCCAAGCAAGAAAGTCCTTATCCCAAAATACTGTATGATGGAGCAGTGGAAAAGTTCAGAGCACAGGAAGTGGACGAGAAAGTGACATATGCAGAGCCTCTATCTTCTCCTGTTGGGGATGAACATGAGCAACATCCTGCTGAACGTGCAGAAGAGGAATATGGTGGGAAAAGCGAGGATAAAGCGTCTTTCGGCTTTCAGGTCCAGTCAGGATCACCAAAGAGTGAAGGGCTAGAGTCAAGAATCATAGAAGAGAAGAATAAGATCAGTCACTGCCAATCAAGTACCCAGGAACCAAAATCAGAACTTCTGGGGATGACAGCGAAAACCTTCAGTTCCTCGGCTCGATGGAATCCAGAACAGCAGCCAACTTTTCCTGTGGAGGAAAAAGCAGCTAACGGCTTTCAGCTGCAGCCAGGAGTTCTGCCACTCACTACGGAGATTACCGAGTACCAATCAAGTGCCCAGGAACCTACATCAGACCTGCTGGTAATGACAGAGAAGACATTCAGTTCCACAGCTGGAAGTGATCAGAAACAGTCACCATGTGTTCTGGAGGAAAAAGCAACTGTCGCCTTTGAGATTCAGTCTGAAGCTCCACCACGCACTGAGGAGATCCATCAGCAGCCATCTGGCACCCAGGAACTGGACATTGTGGGAATAACAGAGGAGACCATCAGTTCCTCGGCTGTATACAAACAGGAACTGCCGCCTTGTGTCCCGGTGGCGGAAGAAACAGCTGTCGGCTTCCAGCTCCAGTCAGGAGCTCAACTTCTCCCGAAAGAGATCACTCCGCACCACTCAAGCACCCACAAATCAAAAACAGAACTTCTGACAATGACAGAGGAGATCTTCAGTTCTGCTGCAAGAGCTGCGGTTGAGCCATGCACGGTGGAAGATGAGCAGGAGCAAACGTCAAGTTCTGGAACAGAAGCATTACTGGAACCCACCCTGGAATCCAGGACCAGCAGTCCGTCTTCTGAAAATGAGTTCAACCCCATCGATGTGAGTGAGATCAAACAGGAAATAAGCTACTCCACTTTGGGCACGACTGCGACAGAAGCAGTAGACATGTTGTATCCGGATGGAGAAGAGATGGACACATGGGACAGCGTGATAGAAAAGAAGATCCATGTTGAGTCAAGTGAACCCAAACCAGAAGCAGAAAGTCAGTTTGCGAAACCAGAGGAGGACATCTTAACAAGAAGGTCTGAGCTAAGTAGAGGAGAAATGAAGAAGCAAGATGATGAGATGTGGCTTCAACGTGAAGAAAGTTCTCAACATTCTGACGATAAAGGCTTAAATGAAGAGGACGAGGACTCCCAAAATATCTCGGTTTCATGGCGAACAGAGCTAGAGAGTGACAGCTATGCTCAAGAGAACACACTGGCTGATGTGCGTCCACTCATCCGGTACACCAGTGACGAGACGGATGCCAACACACAAGCGTCACATGTGGACGAGAGTGAGTCCAGTGACGGTGAGCAAGACGGACAGACCGGAGAGGTAGGTGAACCTGCATGGAGCGAAAGCAAGGCCAAAAACTTTGGAACCATGGAGGATCTTTGTGAGGAAGTAGATGAAGAGGTGGTAGAAAATGACAAAAAATATTCTCAGGAAGCTTCTGGATTGGAAAAATCAACCTTGAAAATCAGTGAGGGCCATTTGGATGAAGAAGTACCGGCAGCTGTCGATGATGTGGAGCTCGAGACAGATCAACTTGTGGAGCAGGAATTGGAAAACCTTTCTATTGACAGCTACGCTTGCCACTTTGCTGAAGAGGTAGCCAATGAGAGCCAAGCGGTGCTTCCTGAGGATGAGGAGGAGGCTCAAAGAAAAGTAATCCTGAAACAAGAAGTCATTACGGACATCCAAGTGACACACAACCTGGACTTTAGGGATTCCATGCAGCCTCAGAGGTTGCAGGAGGTGCAAGAGGAGGATGTCCATGATGGAATGATGACAAAGGAACAAGATGCAATCCCAGAATCTGATGTCCAAGTGGAAAGCAACCTGGATCTTAGGGATTCTGTTCAGCCTCAGACTCTGGAGGAGGTGGAAGTGGTGGAGGTCCAAGATAGAATGATGAAAATGCGAGAAGAACTCATCAAGGAAACTGAACTCAAAATAGAATGCAACCAGGTTCTAAGGGATTCTGCGCAGCCTCAGGTGGACTCTCCGAATGATGATGCCAAAGGAAAGGTGGAAGAGCGTGAGGTCCAAGATCATATAATGACCACAGAACAAGAAGTCATCATGGAATTTGACACCCAAGTGGAATGTAACCAGGACATCAGGAATTTGGTCTCACCTCAGGTGGACACTATGGATCATGAGAAGAAGGTCCAGGACGAAATGATGACCATGGAATATGAAGAGGCTGGCATAGGGCTCCTGCCATCCGGCATGGATTCTGATGTCCAAGTAGAAGATGATCAGGACCGTCAGGACTCGATCCCACCTCAAGTGGACACTCCAGAGGACGATGAGGAAAAAGGGATGGAAGAGAAGGAGGTACAGGATGAATTGACAGCAAAGGAACAAGAAACAATCCCAGAATCTGATGTCCAAGTGGAAAGCAAACTGGACCTTAAGGATTCTGTGCAGCCTCAAACGTTGGAGGAGGTGGAACAGGTGGAGGTCCAGGATGGAATGATGAAGATGGGAGAGGAATTCATCAAGGAAACTGAACTCAAAGTGGAGTGTGACCAGGTCCATGGGGATTCCGTGCAGACTCAGTTGGACTCTGCAATTGAGGATGCCAAGGAAAAGGTGGAAGAGAGCGAGGTCCAAGAACGAATAATAACCATGGAACAAGAAGTTACCATAGAATCTGCCGTCCAAGTGGAACCTAACCAGGATATCAGGAGTTTGGTCCCGCCTCAGATGGACACTATGGAGGATGAGGAGAAGGTTCAGGATGAAATAATGAGAATAGAACACGAAGAGGCCGGCAAAGGGAAGTTGCCATTCTGCATGGATTCTGATGTCCAAGTAGAAGATGATCTGGATCTTGAGGACTCGATCCCGCCTCAGTTGCACACTCCTGATGACGAGAAAAAAGGGTTGGAAGAGAAAGAGGTCCAGCATGGAACGCTGGGACAAGAGGAGGAACGGAAAGTGCCCTTGTTCTCCTGCACAGAATCTGATGTCCTAGTGGAAAGCAATCTCGACTCGGCACCATATCAGTCAGAGTCTCCTGGTGATGAAGAGAAAGTTCAGGTTGAAATAACGACCATGGAACAAGAAGAGGCTGAGCAATTGAACTCGCCATCCTACATGGATCCTGATGTACAAGTAGAAGGCAATCTCAACATCAGTGATTTTATCCCTCCTCAGGTGGACTCACCGGATGACCACGTGAAGGAGGTCCAAGATGAAATATTGAAACAAGAAGAAGCACAGAAAGTGTATCTGCTGTCCTGCATGGAATCTGAAGTCCAAGTGGAAGACAATCTGAACTTGGTGCAGCCTCAGTTGGACACTCCACATGATGGAGAGAAAGTCCAGGATGAAATAATGACCACGGAACAAGAAGTTAGCAAAGAATCTGCCGTCCAAGTAGAACATAACCAGGACATCATGAGTTTTGTCCCGCCTCAGATAGACACTGTGGATGATAAGGAGAAGGTCGAGAATGAAATAATGAGTATAGAACTCACTGAGGCAGACAAAGGGAAGTTGCCATCCTGCATGGATCCTGATGTCCAAATAGATGATGATCTGGACCCTGAGGACTCGATCCCACCTCAGATGGACACTCCAGATGACGACGAGAAAAAAGGGATAGAAGAGAAGGACAAAAAGGAGACACAGGAAGTGCCCTTGCTCTCCTGCACAGAATCTGATGTCCAAGTGGAACACAATCTGAACTTGGTGCAGCCTCAGTTGGACTCTCCAGATGATGAAGAAAAAGTCCAGGATGAAATAATGCCCACGGAACAAGAAGAGGCTGACAAAGTGAGCTCGCCATCCTACATGGATCCTGATTTCCAAGTAGAAGGCAATCTGGACCTCAGTGATTTCATCCCCCCTCAGGTGGACTCACCGGATGACCATGTGAAGGAGGTCCAAGAAGAAATATTGAAACAAGAAGAAGCACAGAAAGTGTACCTGCAGTCCTGCATGGAATCTGAAGTCCGAGTGGAACGCAGTCTGAACTTGGTGCAGCCGCAGTTGGACTCTCCAGATGATGGAGAGAAAGTTCAGGATAAAATAATGACCACGGAACAAGAGGAGGCCAACAAGCTGAACGTGCCATCCTGCGTGGATCCTGATACCCAAGTAGAAGACGATTTGGACCTCAGGGAGTTTGTCCAACCTCTATTGGACTCTCCAGATGACTATTTGGAAGAAGTTCAGGATATAACCTTGAACCAACAAGATGCCGTCAAGGTAAATTTACCAGTCAGCGGATATCTCCAAGATGAAGACATGCTGAGACAAGATATTCAAGATTCCTTAGAAGCTCCGGAGAAAAGAAAGGATGAGTTTGAGTCTAATGTTTCCATGGTGACACATGCTGATGAAACCTATAGCGAGTTCCTTCGTGGGCTCGACTTTTTAGAAGAAGCTGAAGAAGAGCTTCTGGAGAAGCCACAGCGTGAATCTCAAAACCAAAAAGGTCTGCTACAGGAATATACTTATTCTGTGGGAGAAGACGATGCCAGCATTCTGGCAGAAAAATGGAACATCCTGGAGAACACGAGTGAGGACGTTGACATCAGGCATCCAAAAGATGAAGCAGAATCTCATGTGAGTCATCTTCGTGATGAAGTTGGTGATGGTGAACTTGCCGCCACATTTGGTGAGAAACCAGTCGAGATTTCCCTGAAGACTGCACCCGAAGAAGCTGTCATCTTTGCCATGAAGGACTCCTTGTCGGAATTCCTGAAAACCAATGACAGAGAGAACCAGAACCTCTGGGCTGCCCTTCCAGCTGACAAATGGAATGTCCCGGAGAACGTCAGCGAGGACGTTAACATCCGACATCCAAAAAATGAAGAAGAATGTGGCCTGAGTCATGGTGATGAAGAAGCAGGCGACGGCGAGAGCGCCCCCAAATTTGACGAGAAACATGTTGCGATCTCCCCAGAGACTGCAACTGAGGAAAGCATCTTTGCTGTGAAGGACTCCTTGACCGAATTCCGCAAAACAAATGTCAAAGACAAGCGGGACTTGTGGGTATCGTCCATGGAAGAGGCCGCCGCTTATGGATCAGATGACATCCCCAAGGTAATGTCTGGGATTCACGACGTGGAATTTGGTAGTGAGTTGGACTGGGGGAAGGCAGTCAATGGGAGTTCTGCCCGTGATCGCGCCGGGAAGAAAGAGGAACATGTGACCGGGGTGTCAGTGCATTCTGAGGAATCAGAAGTTGAGGGAGAGTGCTGGTCATCTGGGGATGAATAATCTGGTGTTTCTGAAAATGTAGCATCTCAGAGAAGGACCCCAAGACATCACCAATAATAGTTGGTGTGAGAGTTCGGAGAAGACAGAATACATGCCTGTGAAAATGGATGAACGATTTCTTCCAATGTGTTGCTGCTCTGTGTGTGTTAAAATAGCAGTTGCTTTCAGGTTTACGATGACCATTACATCTATGCTCGTTTCTGTTAGCCTCTCCATAGCGTTCCGAATTTTATGGTAGCGGTAAGCTAGCAGGTTTTCGTCAGACAAAATGAAATGTTTTTGGTTGACTATTTTTGTGTTTAAGGTTACAATGTTTGATACGATGTTGCTTTATGCGCTGGTTTTGCAGGAAGCTAACGACTGAGAGCGACAGGGAAGCATCTTAAACTAGTCTTGAATGTTTTTCAAAGAGTTTAAACATGTTAAATGCGTGTGGTAGGGGTTAACCTATATAGCAAACGTTTGCCACCGCCACCACCACCACCAACGTGCCAATTTGAATCTGTGAGTCCATTTTGCTAGATGTTTGCAGCATCTCCTCTTTCCTTCCGTGCTAATCTTGGTCTTTCAGGCTCCTGAGTGGAAGGTGAACCATTGATCAGCTCTTATTGATCCAACTGAGCTGGTCACGTTTCACTTCCTTGCAGTGATCAATAAGACTGATTGTCATATACCGGTAATTAAAAAATAAATAAATAAATAAAATAAAACAAAACACGCGGACAAGAAATGTTTGGGTTTTTTTTGACCAACAAATCTGTATTGTTGTTTGTTTTGCTTGAACAATTGATCGACTGATTGCACTGTTTAGTCAGCAGTAGATTTTAATCTAATAAACTTGATGACAAGATCCTCAGTGTGTTCTTTTGTCTTATCGCAATCAAACAGCGTTCTAATACAACACATATATTGCAGGTTAGCTCAGAGTTAATGAAAATTTGAGTGTTCACTCAACCTACAATGCACGTTTTTGGAATGTGGGAGGAAAACGGAGTACAGTACCCGGAGAAAACACACGGAGGCACGGGGGCAACATACAAACTCCACACAGGAAGGCTGGAGCCTGGAATCGAACCGTGCACCTCTTCAATGTGAGGCAGACGTGCTAACCAGTCGAGCACCATGCCGCCACCTGAAACAATACTTGATGATAAATATTTATCCGTAATCAGGTAAACTTTTGGTAGGAAACAGTCAAAGAATACATGCCAAACGACGTTAAAATCCCATATGGACACTTTTATTGACAAAAACATATAGTGCATTGGGATGAAGAAGTACCGGCAGCTGTCGATGATGTGGAGCTCGAGACGGATCGACTTGTGGAGCAGGAATTGGAAAACCTTTCTATTGACAGCTACGCTTGCCACTTTGCTGAAGAGGTAGCCAATGAGAGCCAAGCGGTGCTTCCTGAGGATGAGGAGGAGGCTCAAAGAAAAGTAATCCTGAAACAAGAAGTCATTACGGACATCCAAGTGACACACAACCTGGACTTTAGGGATTCCATGCAGCCTCAGAGGTGGCAGGAGGTGGAAGAGGAGGATGTCCATGATGGAATGATGACAAAGGAACAAGATGCAATCCCAGAATCTGATGTCCAAGTGGAAAGCAACCTGGATCTTAGGGATTCTGTTCAGCCTCAGACTCTGGAGGGGGTGGAAGTGGTGGAGGTCCAAGATAGAATGATGAAAATGCGAGAAGAACTCATCAAGGAAACTGAACTCAAAATGGAATGCAACCAGGTTCTAAGGGATTCTGCGCAGCCTCAGGTGGACTCTCCGAATGATGATGCCAAAGGAAAGGTGGAAGAGCGTGAGGTCCAAGATCATATAATGACCACAGAACAAGAAGTCATCATGGAATTTGACACCCAAGTGGAATGTAACCAGGACATCAGGAATTTGGTCTCACCTCAGGTGGACACTATGGATCATGAGAAGAAGGTCCAGGACGAAATGATGACCATGGAATATGAAGAGGCTGGCATAGGGCTCCTGCCATCCGGCATGGATTCTGATGTCCAAGTAGAAGATGATCAGGACCGTCAGGACTCGATCCTACCTCAAGTGGACACTCCAGATGACGATGAGGAAAAAGGGATGGAAGAGAAGGAGGTACAGGATGAATTGACAGCAAAGGAACAAGAAACAATCCCAGAATCTGATGTCCAAGTGGAAAGCAAACTGGACCTTAAGGATTCTGTGCAGCCTCAAACGTTGGAGGAGGTGGAACAGGTGGAGGTCCAGGATGGAATGATGAAGATGGGAGAGGAATTCATCAAGGAAACTGAACTCAAAGTGGAGTGTGACCAGGTCCATGGGGATTCCGTGCAGACTCAGTTGGACTCTGCAATTGAGGATGCCAAGGAAAAGGTGGAAGAGAGCGAGGTCCAAGAACGAATAATAACCATGGAACAAGAAGTTACCATAGAATCTGCCGTCCAAGTGGAACCTAACCAGGATATCAGGAGTTTGGTCCCGCCTCAGATGGACACTATGGAGGATGAGGAGAAGGTTCAGGATGAAATAATGAGAATAGAACACGAAGAGGCCGGCAAAGGGAAGTTGCCATTCTGCATGGATTCTGATGTCCAAGTAGAAGATGATCTGGATCTTGAGGACTCGATCCCGCCTCAGTTGCACACTCCTGATGACGAGAAAAAAGGGTTGGAAGAGAAAGAGGTCCAGCATGGAACGCTGGGACAAGAGGAGGAACGGAAAGTGCCCTTGTTCTCCTGCACAGAATCTGATGTCCTAGTGGAAAGCAATCTCGACTCGGCACCATATCAGTCAGAGTCTCCTGGTGATGAAGAGAAAGTTCAGGTTGAAATAACGACCATGGAACAAGAAGAGGCTGAGCAATTGAACTCGCCATCCTACATGGATCCTGATGTACAAGTAGAAGGCAATCTCAACATCAGTGATTTTATCCCTCCTCAGGTGGACTCACCGGATGACCAAGTGAAGGAGGTCCAAGATGAAATATTGAAACAAGAAGAAGCACAGAAAGTGTATCTGCTGTCCTGCATGGAATCTGAAGTCCAAGTGGAAGACAATCTGAACTTGGTGCAGCCTCAGTTGGACACTCCACATGATGGAGAGAAAGTCCAGGATGAAATAATGACCACGGAACAAGAAGTTAGCAAAGAATCTGCCGTCCAAGTAGAACATAACCAGGACATCATGAGTTTTGTCCCGCCTCAGATAGACACTGTGGATGATAAGGAGAAGGTCGAGAATGAAATAATGAGTATAGAACTCACTGAGGCAGACAAAGGGAAGTTGCCATCCTGCATGGATCCTGATGTCCAAATAGATGATGATCTGGACCCTGAGGACTCGATCCCACCTCAGATGGACACTCCAGATGACGACGAGAAAAAAGGGATAGAAGAGAAGGAGGTCCAGCATGAAATGCTGGGACAAAAGGAGACACAGGAAGTGCCCTTGCTCTCCTGCACAGAATCTGATGTCCAAGTGGAACACAATCTGAACTTGGTGCAGCCTCAGTTGGACTCTCCAGATGATGAAGAAAAAGTCCAGGATGAAATAATGCCCACGGAACAAGAAGAGGCTGACAAAGTGAGCTCGCCATCCTACATGGATCCTGATTTCCAAGTAGAAGGCAATCTGGACCTCAGTGATTTCATCCCCCCTCAGGTGGACTCACCGGATGACCATGTGAAGGAGGTCCAAGAAGAAATATTGAAACAAGAAGAAGCACAGAAAGTGTACCTGCAGTCCTGCATGGAATCTGAAGTCCGAGTGGAACGCAGTCTGAACTTGGTGCAGCCGCAGTTGGACTCTCCAGATGATGGAGAGAAAGTTCAGGATAAAATAATGACCACGGAACAAGAGGAGGCCAACAAGCTGAACGTGCCATCCTGCGTGGATCCTGATACCCAAGTAGAAGACGATTTGGACCTCAGGGAGTTTGTCCAACCTCTATTGGACTCTCCAGATGACTATTTGGAAGAAGTTCAGGATATAACCTTGAACCAACAAGATGCCGTCAAGGTAAATTTACCAGTCAGCGGATATCTCCAAGATGAAGACATGCTGAGACAAGATATTCAAGATTCCTTAGAAGCTCCGGAGAAAAGAAAGGATGAGTTTGAGTCTAATGTTTCCATGGTGACACATGCTGATGAAACCTATAGCGAGTTCCTTCGTGGGCTCGACTTTTTAGAAGAAGCTGAAGAAGAGCTTCTGGAGAAGCCACAGCGTGAATCTCAAAACCAAAAAGGTCTGCTACAGGAATATACTTATTCTGTGGGAGAAGACGATGCCAGCATTCTGGCAGAAAAATGGAACATCCTGGAGAACACGAGTGAGGACGTTGACATCAGGCATCCAAAAGATGAAGCAGAATCTCATGTGAGTCATCTTCGTGATGAAGTTGGTGATGGTGAACTTGCCGCCACATTTGGTGAGAAACCAGTCGAGATTTCCCTGAAGACTGCACCCGAAGAAGCTGTCATCTTTGCCATGAAGGACTCCTTGTCGGAATTCCTGAAAACCAATGACAGAGAGAACCAGAACCTCTGGGCTGCCCTTCCAGCTGACAAATGGAATGTCCCGGAGAACGTCAGCGAGGACGTTAACATCCGACATCCAAAAAATGAAGAAGAATGTGGCCTGAGTCATGGTGATGAAGAAGCAGGCGACGGCGAGAGCGCCCCCAAATTTGACGAGAAACATGTTGCGATCTCCCCAGAGACTGCAACTGAGGAAAGCATCTTTGCTGTGAAGGACTCCTTGACCGAATTCCGCAAAACAAATGTCAAAGACAAGCGGGACTTGTGGGTATCGTCCATGGAAGAGGCCGCCGCTTATGGATCAGATGACATCCCCAAGGTAATGTCTGGGATTCACGACGTGGAATTTGGTAGTGAGTTGGACTGGGGGAAGGCAGTCAATGGGAGTTCTGCCCGTGATCGCGCCGGGAAGAAAGAGGAACATGTGACCGGGGTGTCAGTGCATTCTGAGGAATCAGAAGTTGAGGGAGAGTGCTGGTCATCTGGGGATGAATAATCTGGTGTTTCTGAAAATGTAGCATCTCAGAGAAGGACCCCAAGACATCACCAATAATAGTTGGTGTGAGAGTTCGGAGAAGACAGAATACATGCCTGTGAAAATGGATGAACGATTTCTTCCAATGTGTTGCTGCTCTGTGTGTGTTAAAATAGCAGTTGCTTTCAGGTTTACGATGACCATTACATCTATGCTCGTTTCTGTTAGCCTCTCCATAGCGTTCCGAATTTTATGGTAGCGGTAAGCTAGCAGGTTTTCGTCAGACAAAATGAAATGTTTTTGGTTGACTATTTTTGTGTTTAAGGTTACAATGTTTGATACGATGTTGCTTTATGCGCTGGTTTTGCAGGAAGCTAACGACTGAGAGCGACAGGGAAGCATCTTAAACTAGTCTTGAATGTTTTTCAAAGAGTTTAAACATGTTAAATGCGTGTGGTAGGGGTTAACCTATATAGCAAACGTTTGCCACCGCCACCACCACCACCAACGTGCCAATTTGAATCTGTGAGTCCATTTTGCTAGATGTTTGCAGCATCTCCTCTTTCCTTCCGTGCTAATCTTGGTCTTTCAGGCTCCTGAGTGGAAGGTGAACCATTGATCAGCTCTTATTGATCCAACTGAGCTGGTCACGTTTCACTTCCTTGCAGTGATCAATAAGACTGATTGTCATATACCGGTAATTAAAAAATAAATAAATAAATAAAATAAAACAAAACACGCGGACAAGAAATGTTTGGGTTTTTTTGACCAACAAATCTGTATTGTTGTTTGTTTTGCTTGAACAATTGATCGACTGATTGCACTGTTTAGTCAGCAGTAGATTTTAATCTAATAAACTTGATGACAAGATCCTCAGTGTGTTCTTTTGTCTTATCGCAATCAAACAGCGTTCTAATACAACACATATATTGCAGGTTAGCTCAGAGTTAATGAAAATTTGAGTGTTCACTCAACCTACAATGCACGTTTTTGGAATGTGGGAGGAAAACGGAGTACAGTACCCGGAGAAAACACACGGAGGCACGGGGGCAACATACAAACTCCACACAGGAAGGCTGGAGCCTGGAATCGAACCGTGCACCTCTTCAATGTGAGGCAGACGTGCTAACCAGTCGAGCACCATGCCGCCACCTGAAACAATACTTGATGATAAATATTTATCCGTAATCAGGTAAACTTTTGGTAGGAAACAGTCAAAGAATACATGCCAAACGACGTTAAAATCCCATATGGACACTTTTATTGACAAAAACATATAGTGCTGTTACAACTTTCATTCAATCTAATAGCCTAACAGCACATGGTAACTTTAAAAGAGATGCTACATGCTAAAATGGCCAGTTTTAAAATTGTGTGCCTTCACTGGATGAACCAAGCTTTTGACTTCTTTGTGTTGTTAGCGTTAGCATGTTAGCATCACATATGCTACCAGAGTTTATACACTATTTACAAATAAAGTTAGGGTTAGGTTCCAATACAGTATACCCAACGTTTTGTGAGTAGTTTTGTGTTAAAATGATAATTCTGCGGCATTAGAAGTCAGAAAAAGTGAAATAAGATTGACATTGAGGTCAGTTGTCAGGGTGGCTTCCACGTAGACACGTAGTTGCAGTGAGTGACCAATTACTCCTTGGCAAATGCTTCGGTTCAACCCTGCTGGAATTCTTATTCTTTTTTAGCTGTTCTCCATCATGACATGCAAGATTCGTTTGTGAATGTTGTCTGCTGTTTTAGGTAATACTAGTAGCTATCTGTATCTGATATTTAACGTATGCATCGAAGAGACAACAGTTGTCAACCAACACAGTAGAAATCTTCTTAATTACACCAGCGAGACTCCTTGAAATGACCATCAACCTCTGAAGCCATGCTTTGCTCACACTGGATAGGGTAAAAAAAATTAATACAAATTGCCAGTTTAGTGTTTCTCAGTTCTAATTTAGGCTCATTTGGGCAATTTCCCGAGTTGGAGCTAGTCAAAATACAAGCCATGGAATTTGCTCCACACGGCTGCTGCGAACCAAGATGGCCACTTCATGTTCAATTTAGCGGTCCTCACCAAAATGGCCGACTTCCTGTTCAATTTCAGGCATGATACTTTTTTGTGCACACTTTTATTATTGACATGGCCATCTAATTTTGTGTTGGTCAGTGAAATGGTACATGGGGCAAATTTTTGTCTCAAAAAGCTACTTTTGTGGGGTTGTTCATATCTACATCAGGATACACATGCAATTGCCTATATAGCTGACGGCATGAAAGGAAGGAGGTCTATGCTTGACTGGGCGAGGCTTTCACCGAATCACATAACTATGTGTGTGTCAGTGTGTGTGTGGCAGCAGATGCCCACTGTCATCTAATCAGTATGTGGAAATTGAATTAGCAACATCGCAGACAGCGGGGCGAGCCCACACACACACACACACACACACACACACACACACACACACACACACACACACACGACCACAAAAACTAACTAAATCATGATATTTCTCCAGTGTCATTTATCTTTTTTTTTAGCATGCTTATGCTAAAAGCAGATGGATGTGAATGTTCTCATGCCAGTGATTCAGTTGAAATGAATTTCAAGACAAACCTGTTGTCTGCTGGAGTGTGTGTGTGTGTGTGTGTGTGTGTGTGTGTGTGTGTGTACGTGTGTGCGTCTGGGCATGACGTCAATCAGGCAGCTGACACGAACAGATGACAGCCTCCAACCAACCTCAGTGGTGCCGAGTAAATGGATTGCATTTACATGGTGCTTTAAAAGGGTTAAACTACAGCAAACACCTTTCCTACACCAATAGGCATAAGGATTAATTGTCTTGCCAAAGGACACTTTGAAAGTGGACAGTCCGTGTTGGGATTCCAAGTGCCAACCCTTCGGCATGGACGTATATTTGATAATGTCTCTGTCTCTCTCTCGAAACAGTAGCATACATGCCTCCGTGGCTTTTGATGACTGGACGACTCCCTCTACCAATTGAGACAGAGTTGCCATAGTAACCAAGTACAAATACTTTCTGTATTTGAGTATATTTTTCAAGTATTTGAAATTTTTTTTGACCACTTATTGTATTGAATGAAATTGACAGTAAATATTGAGTTGAATTGATACCGGTATTTGAACCATTCTTTCTGTACTTCCAAGTATCCATACTTCTACTTAAGTACACAATGTGAGTACTTTGACCACTTCTTTTAGTTACCATGTTGAGACTTCACTGATATTAAATACAGCTTTTTTTTTCATTTTTTTTTGTTCACTTTTAAAGAGAACAGAAGGAAGCAAAGAGAAAAGAGCGACAAAGTTTGGTGTAGGTCAACTTGTCTATTTAATATATAAAATACGGTAAAACACACAAAAAGGGGAGCGAGGGGCGGGCGCAAGAAGAGGGGGAGCATCGGATACTTTGGTACAATAACAAACACTTTTTTTGTAAAAGCAGTATAGATTTCGAAATAACATCAGTGCATACTTTTATTTATGAAAATATACACAAATTGTATATCATTCTCAAAAAAAAAAGTCTCTTTACAACAAAAAAGCAGACTAGCCCAACACAATATATTAGCTATCTTTTATTTTATACTTTTTTCTTCATTTTTTTATTTGAATATATTTAAGTGTGACGACGGTGTGTTGATTTGACATTTTATTCCCCTTTGCTCTTGATCCATGCAGCAGTGACATCCTCGCTCACTTGTGCATCGAAAAACCGTGCGACGTTTATTGATAACACAACAACAACAAAAAGAATCCCCCAAGCACTCAAAAAGATAGATAGAATATTCATCAAATAAAAACTAAGCTACACAAAAAGTCCTCATCACATTGATGACCTCATCAGTATGATTATAATTTATATTCATAATAATAATAATAATATCACCATAAAAAAACAGACTTGTCACCAACACGAATGAACACCGGAGAGCGAGCATTTTAGCTTTGGAGGCCGGCGTGTGGAAATACGTTTGAGTGGTAATTCCATATCCTTGATACCCACCTCGTGGTCCATGTACTAGTACTAGTTTGTCCTAACTAGTAAAATAACTCGACTGAGGTACCTGGTAGAACTATTGTATCTTACTAATTACTGTATGTTTTGACTCCTAACGCCGCTTTTAAGATACTAGCATGACTAGTATCTTAAATATATACTAGTATACTATGATGATTGGTGAGGCGCTATATTTTAACTTGGGGAATTTTGTAACGCCACTCGTAGTACTGATATAGCTCCAAGGTATTGATTAATGTGTAGTAGCTCTGCCCCATTGTCGTATGGTGTTCCGCAGGGTTCAATTGTGGGGTCCCTGCTGTTTTCATTATATTTGCTGCTGTAAGAGTTTTTATACTAGTTGGCCTAGTAGTGTTATTATACGAGTACACCACAGTAATTTACTACTTAGGTTTGATGTAGTAGGCCAAAAGTGAATATAGTAGTTGAAACATGATACAAGTAAGACAGTCATTATACTAGTGCTCTGAATTGTTTCACTAGTTAGGACAGAGTGTACTCGTACGTGAACTTTAAACCTGCAAAAAAACAAACAAAAATACCCAAAAAACAAAACAAAACAAAAAAAACGCTCAAATGGCTTTCCATAGCAGGCGGGGTTTGAAGATGATTGTCTTTTTGGGATTACGGCACCCCCTAAAGGAAGCGCACGGGTAACAACAACCACGTCGCATATGGCTTGAGGCAAACTCCCATAATAATAACAATCACATAGCAGAAAATGAATTGAAAATCGTTCATTTACCGCACTTAACAAGGACCGCATCGCACACTGTAACAATAAAGATTCATCAAAATAAAAAGGTGCAGTGCTAACGTTGCCCTCATGGTCACTAACTGCACCAAAATGGCAACAGAAACCATTTCAAGCAGGACTTAATGCAGTGATATGTTTGGGGGG